GCATGGCGGCCAGATGGTAGTGGGGGGCACCTGCAGGAGGGTCAGTTGGAGGAGAGCAAGGAGCTGTGGGAGGAGAGGTCCATGCTGCTGGCGCTGAGGCCTCTGCTCTCCGCACGGAGGCCTTGGGTGCCCTGGAAAAGCAACATCACCCGTTGAGGAGCGGTACCCGCAACCCCCCACACCCTTGTGTCCCCCCAAAGCTGCCAGCCCACCTCCTGCCTTGCAAGCCCCAGGGCCGTTATCAGCCACATTAGCCACTTCTTTCCTCCCTCGCTCCCCGGTCTGCAGCTGGAGGGTTTTGCTGAGTGAAGGGGGCAGGGAGGGGATTACAAGGGATCAACACCTTCATTGCACACACTCCTCCACACTGCTGAGGAGAAGGATGTGGGGGTCCTGGTGGAGAGTAAACTCTCCATGAGCCAGCAATGGGCCCTTGTGGCCAAGAGGGCCAATGGGAGCCTGGGCTGCAGAGGGAAGAGTGTGGCCAGGAGGTGGAGGGAGGTCATTCTCCCCCTCTGCTCTGCACTGGGGAGGCCACAACTGGAATCCTGCGTCCAGGTCTGGGCTCCCCAGTTCAAGAGAGACAGGGAACTGCTGGCGAGAGTCCAGCGTAGGGCAACAGAGATGCTGGAGGGATTGGAGCATCCCCCTGATGAGGAAAGGCTGAGAGAGCTGGGGCTCTTCAGCCTGGAAAAGAGAAGGCTGAGGGGAGACCTTCTTAATGCTGACAAGGATCTAAAGGGTGGGTTGAGGGAGGATGGAGCTGGACTCTTTCCAGTGGTTCCCAGTGACAGGACGAGGGGCAACGGGCACAAGCTGGACCATGGGAAGTTCCACTCCAATCTGAGGAAGAACTTGTTTGGGGTGAGGGTGGCAGAGCCCTGGCAGAGGCTGCCCAGGGAGGGTGTGGAGTCCCCTTCTCTGGAGATCTTCAAGCCCCGCCTGGATGCTCCTGAGTGATGTGCTCTGGGCAACCCTGCTTTGGCAGGGGAGTTGGGCTAGATGATCTCTAGAAGGTCCCTTCCAACTCCAACGATTCTGTGATTCCGTGATTTTTGGAGCTATGATCTCAGAAGAGGGGTCTCTGCAGCTGCCCCTGCTGCAGGGCACGGAGTGGGGACACTGGCCCTGGCCACCATCCCTTGGGAGGACAAAGTAGCCCCAGCCCCACACAGATGAGTACATCTGCACAGATGAACGTCACCAGTGGGGTCTCGGGCACCCCCTGTGTCACTGGCCACGGTCCCTATAGCCAGCTGCAGCCACACAAGCCCCCACCTCAACAGCCCTTCCTGCACCAGCCCCACCATCTGCCCCGTCCTTACCTCAAACGAAGCATCACTAGACTTGTGCAGGTAATTTAATGACGCAGCTCGTTTCATGCTACAAGAAAGCAGAGGAGAGCAGGTGTGATCTTATTGTGCCTGCCCAGACCCCAAGGGCAGGGGTGGCAAGGTCCCCCGCTCACCCTGCCCCCAGCCTGGCCCTCATAGCCCTGGTCCCTACCTGGAGTTCCTGGGCTCCAGGGGACCATTGCCCTGCAGTTTCTTGACCAACATCTCGCTGCTCCTCCGTATCACTTCCCGGATTTTCCCCAGGGAGCTGCTGCGCTGGAGGGTGCCACTGCCATCCTGGACACAGAGACACAAGCCGGGGTGATGGCTGAGTGGCACCGATCAGGCTCTGGCATGCTGCAGACGAGTGGCCAGGAACTGGGCTTGGCTCCAAACACCCTCTTGGCCCGCTTGCCCTGAGGATTTAGCCCTGGCACACGCAGCAGGCTCCCTGCTCACTACAGGGCTGCCCCTCACCCTGGTTCTCCAGGGGACATGACGACTGTGGGGTCCGGGACCCCCACCACCATGGCTTGGCTCATCCAGACTGATTCTCCATCTTGCCCGGTGCAAGCCCAACACCAAGCCAGGCTGCTGACCTACAACCAGGCCACCGGCACAAATGGCACACTGCTGTCCCCACAGCTTTGCTCGAACATGGCATAGCTCCCTCACCTGTGACAGCTCAGGCAGCAGCTACTAAGGAGGTCCCAGAAGCCAGGGAAGCACCAAGCCCTGATGGTAGCCCCAAGCTTGGGGGTACTTTTGTCAGGCCAGGACATGCTACCAGGACATTCAGTTCAAGGATGCTCTCCTCATTTGCTGCTGGCTGGAGACTATCCTCCTTCTCCCCTCCTCACCACGTCATTGCTATTCCTCCTCTCCATCCAGCACTCGTCCTGAGGCACATCCCGGTCCTGCAGGCTCACTCATGGCAGACAAGACAGGTCCACATGCACACACGGCCTTGTCCCACCTCTAACACCTCCAAGATGATTAGCTCTGAGCCTGCTGAGCAATTCAGGCAGCTCCATCTGGGATGGAGCCATCCATTTGGCTGTGCTGCTGCCAAGCAGGCACCACTCTCCTTGGCACCCCCAACTTTTGCTGCACCCAGCCCTGCTAGCTGTCCCAGGGTGGCGCTTTGAAGGGTTTCTTTACAGCTGCCTGTGTTTTCCAAAGACCAAAGCCAGCACTGAATCTCGTTCCCCAGCCCGTTTCCTCCTGCCTGCCCCCAAAAGTCCCTAGTACTCAGAAAGGCACTTTCAGCCCTTCACAGCCTGTCTCCTGCATTTAGCTCCGCACGCGTGCAAGGCACAGGCTGCCAGCGTGAGACCGCCTCATGCCATCGTGGCATCAAGCTCTTCCCCCTGTGGCCAGGCACGCTCATCACACAAGGTTGTGGCACCACTGCTGACGTGGAGTTACTTTGGCTCTGATGGCCTGATAACAGCAGTCCTCCCCGCTCCTCATCCCAACGGCCCCTGGCACACCAGGGCAGAAGAAACAGAGATAAGGGGACTGCAGAAGCCCTCTGCTCCTTACAAGCATGCGTGCGACCCCCTTTGTACCACTCCAAGTGACCAAGATGCCCTGTGGCTCAACCCCCCTGTGCTGACACCTGCACTTGGTGGTCCTGGGGAAGGCTTTTCCAACACTGGCCTGTTCCGATTACCCAAAGCTGATCCAGCCCTAGACCCCTCTTCAGCAGCTGATTGGGACTTCTCCTTCCAGCAAACCATTCTCCTGGCATTCATCTCATCCCTTCTCGGATAAGCCAAGCCCATTGAACCCCTTCCCTTCCTCATCAGGATGAAGGGTCACCAAACCAGGAGCCACGTGCTGTGCCTGCAAGGGACCCGCTCACCAGGAATCCAGAGAGCACCAAAAGCATTAGCAAGGTAAACAATTCAGCTCCTGCACCAGCCACCCCGGGCGGGTTTTGGAGGAGCTAGAAGTCACAATGTGGCACTAGCAAAGACAGGGGTGCGGGAGGGTGTCTTTTTTGCCTCCCCGGCAGACTTGCACCACCATGCAGGGTACCGCCATGCCAGGCACCACAAGCCAGGGGTGAAGAAGGGAACAGGGGAGCAGGACCATGGTACAAGGGCAGCAGGATCCGGCCAGAAAGCACGCTGTGGGGTCAGGGCTGGAGGGTGGAACCGCATTTCCCCAGCTGCAGTGATTGCAGACTGACTGCAGACCAACACCAGAACCAAATGCTGCTGCACGCTGGGGTTAAAAATAGCCTCCCTTCTCTCCCCCACTCCCTTTTCTTGCAGGGTTATTTTTAACCTGGAACATTTATGGGGCCTGGCTTTACCGCAGAGCCCCCACACCCCATTGCACCCACCAGGATGAGAACACTCGAAAGAAAAAATTAAAAAAAAAATGTAAAGAAAGAAGCGGCTCCACCGCTGAGCTGCTCTCCACCGCCTGCTCCCACCCTGCCTGCTGCCTGGAGGCAGAGGACTGGATTTGGCAGCATGTGGAGCTCAGCAGCAGGGGGGGGACACACACAATGGGGTATTTCTCTGGCTAATGGGAACACCAGTTGGGGAAAGCCCAAGCTCAGACACCCCCACCACACGTAGCCACAGAGCTGAGGTTAGCAGCAGCCACCCCGGTGTGGAGGTTAGGGAGATGCCCGGCGGAGCTGGGGATCCCTCACCTCCGATGCTCAGCCTAGGAGAGGTGCCCTGGGGGTGGTACATCCCCCCCCCTCCCCAGCCCCCACTGCACGCACACAGACACCAAGCACCCCCCCACGCCTGCTCCAGCAGCATTTGCACACCCGCCACCCCAAGGGGCTGACCGACGCTGGCCTCCAGAGCGTGGAAAGAAGCACAGGGCAGCGGTTCGGGTCTGTCTACCTTTAATCAGAGGTACGGTCGTTACAGCACCAGGTCCGGGACACGACAAAACACAGGGGCAGGTGGCACCGAGGCCTGAATGCACCCTGCACTGGGGACTCAGCACTCTCCCAGCAGCATGGAGCAGCACTGGGAGAGAGGGAGGGAGGCAGGGAAAGGCACAAGCCCTAGAGAGCTCAGCCCTGGGCTCCACACCCCACGCTCCTGAGGACTAAACCTCCTTTCAGCAAGCCCAAGCTCCCAGGGGAGCAGCATGCGTGTGCCCCGAGACCTCTGCACCACCAGGGGAAAGCCAGGCCCAGAAGACAGACACAAGCACATTTAGTATCACAACCTGCCAGGTGACTAGCATGAGAGAAACTATCTAGCTAAAAAAATAAGGGGGGCAAGGCGGGGGGGTGGGGTGGGGGGTCCTGCGCTGGCCTCTGGGCTCTCTCCTGCTGGCTTGCAGCCTCCTCAGCTTTCTTCCCAGGTGGGAGAACCAGGGAGGCTCGCTTCCCATGGAGGAGGTGGGCTGAGGGTATGCACCCAAGGGTGTGAGGCTCAAGGCAGTGGTGGTCTGGCCCTGGGAAACATCCCCTTTTCCCAGTAGTGACCGACAGCAACCAGACCCCGTGCACGCCTGGAGTCCCATCAGAGGCACTGAGCCACCCATGCCCAGGGTCAGCACTGTCTTCTTAGCAGTGACAGGTTACAGATTTGCCACCCACTTGGCTGGGGACAGCCAGGCAGCGAGTCGCAGCCCCAGGGATCATGCCTGGCACGCCAGGTCCTGTTCTCCAAGAATTGCTCTTCTCCATGAACCACCCGGGCCCTTCTTCTCCTGCAGAAACCTCCCTCCAGCTATCCCATCTGCCCCCACATGCTCAGGGCACCCCAAGCCCCAGCTCCTTCCTTTCCTCTCATCCTTCTTTGCACCTCCTTTTTCTCCTAACCCGTCTGCTCCAAACACAACCCATTCCCCATCTCGGCCACTTCTAATGGCCTGGGGCCCTGCAGAAAAGTACTGCTTTCCTCCTACCCTTCCCTTTGTCTCCAAGGAACAGCAAACAGCTTCACCTCTGCCTCTCCCAGCAACCCACACCTGGGGACCCTTGAGCAACAGGGAGCTTATTCACCCCTTAACACCATCGAGCCAGGAACTCTGCTACGCCATGAGGTCAGGAGGTTGCAACCAAGCCTGCTTTGTCCTGGCAGGTCCCTGTCCCATGCACGGCTCCTGGCTGTCACCCCCTCACTTCGTCTTGGAGGTGTGGTCGTTATGGGCCATCCTACCTTCCCGCCCCCCTGCAGAGAGACCCCCCACGCTGTCCCCTGGGTTGCAGAGCTCAGCAGGGGAGGAGGATGGCAAGACAAGTGCCACAGGGAGAGCCCAGCTCGCCGGTGGCCAGCGCAGGTTTGCTACAGGGGCACTAACATCAGCTAAACCTACAAGGGGGAAGAAAGCAAGCGGGCACATGACAGCCCTGCCCAAGGCCAGGCCTCTCTGTCCCAAAACAGCCCCCACCCGCCATCTTCATGCCTCCTTCGAAGAGATGGAGGGAACAAGCTAGGAGGGTTGAGGATGTCTAATGACGGTGGAGTCGGCACGCCTGGAGTGAAGACAATCCCCCGCAGGCCTGGTCCCCAGGGATGAGGAAGGGCAGGCTGGGGGTAGGGGGGCAGGCAAGGGGACGGTGGCCCGTCACCCTGGCCCTGGGGGAGCAGGCAGCTCCTCGCAGATTCTTCCTGCTCTTGCTGGCCACGGGGACTGGAGCTGGGCCCAGGTGGCCAGGGACTCCTCTGCAGGCATCGCGGTGCCCTCGCGCGCCGGGAGGGTCGGGGGACTGGCGTTGGAGTTCTTGCCGAGGAAGGAGGGATGGTGTGGAGGAAAAGTCGGAAGATACAACACAAACATCCAGGTGATTGCGGTGGAGGGGAAAGAGGGAGTCTCGGGAGGCATTTAAGCCTAGTGCACAGAGAGGAGAGAGACACAATTTACAAGGCCGTGAGGTCGTAGGTCACCCAGGGAGCAGATGGGGCAGAGCCCAGGCTGCATGCAGAGACAACGGGCCACCTCTGGGCAGGGGGACGGGGGGGTGGGAGTCCTGTGAGGCCAGAACAGTGGGCTCACAGCTTTGTGATGCTTTGTGCACTCTTGGCAGGCTGGCAGAAACAGCCAGTTCCAAGAGGAACAACCTGCTTCGGAGGGCTCCCTGCTCTTGGGACCTTGGGCACGAGGTGCCCGCTGAGCTGGTGCCATCCCTGCTCTCACGGCCCAGACCCTGGCTCTTCCCAGACCAATTACCCGGACAGCCAGGAGCTGGTCCAGGCCCTGGGGTGCTTCCAGAGCTGCTCCTGGTAGCAGGGCACAGAGGTTGCTGGCACCCTGGGGGATGTCCCCATGGGCCCTGCCTGCAGCAGCTGACAGCTAAGGGATGGCAGCACGTCCAAGGTCTCTAGACCAGCACGGGGGACAACTGGCCGTGACAGACAGGAGCAGCAGGACCTGCCTCAGCCTTCATTTTTGGGGGAGCAGCAGCCCAGCGCAGGGCTGCTGGCTGGGGAGAAGAGGCTGGCTACACGTGCGGCAGGCTGGAAAAGGCACCAAGCATCATGTGGCAGCAGCCCTGTCCCCTAGGGTGCTGGGCTAGCCCTCAAACCCTCTATTTACAGCTGGCTGGGCCAGGTAAGCCCTGCCAAGCCCCCTGGGTGACACAAGCAGGTACTGTACCCCTTGGCTGGGTCAGAGGTGGGGAGAGGGTGGTATTGCCTGCTTGCTTTGGGATGATCAGCTCAGAGACTAACAGGAAGGTCTCCCAGACCATCACCAGCGTAAAGCAAACACCCAACACCAGCCACAGCCAGGAGGAACGGCAGAGAGACAGCAGCCAGGACAGGGACCAGGTGACCCTAATCCAAACCTGCAATCCTCCCTCTGTGCTTGTCCTGCCCCTCTACTAAGAGGGGCTGCAAATGGCCCAGGGTTGGTGTCTTGCCAGGGATTGGACTCTCTTTGCTCCTGATGCCAAGAGCTGGGACAGAGGACAGCCCTACATCTGGCAGAGCTGCCAGGTCACCTTGAAGCTCTTCTCCCCAGGTCCCCTCCAGCCACCTCCTGGGTACAATCCACAATCAAGAGAGCCAGCAGGCTTCAGGCTTGGGTGTTTGAGGGGCTGTCATGGCAACAGGGAAAAGGAAGGGGGAAGGGAAGGGAGCTCATGCGGGTGGGGATGGAGCCGAGCCAGGTGGGGAAGGGTTAGTGACAGCAGATGTGAGGGGGGGGAGCAAAGAACTCCATGTGCTCAGTGTGTCGTCTCTGTCAGTCTGCAACAACCCCTGGGTCTCCAGCTACACAACACTCTCAACTAGAGTTTGCAAGAGGAACGGTAAGTGTTAACAGCTCTAGCAGCCCTCGAGCCAAGCACCCACCAGCACCACGCTCACTTGCCACCTCCATCCTCCTCCTTGCAGAAGACAAAAGTCCCAGACCTGGACCGCTACCTTGCTCCAAACTCAGTACTAGTGACCAAAGTGCCCCTCAGCTTCAGAGCAAGCCCAGAGAGGGTCAGGTCACCCTGCCTGTGCCTTAGCTAACACCAGCCTCATTTGCCACCACTGGTCAGCCTGGCCTGGCATCCCACAAAGACCTGCCTTTTACCACCTCTGCTTGGCCAGAGCCTGCGGAAGACACAAGACCAGGAGAGGGAGAGACAGCAAAGACGCTGGCTGCAGACTATCCCCGTGCCCTGCGGTCATTCAGTCACAGCCACACCAAGCACACACACGTGCACACACACAACCCTCCCCCAGGCTCAGCATCGCCTGCGGTGCGGTACAGGACAGCCAGCTGAGTCGCTGACGGAGGCTGTGTGGGTCTGAGATGGGGCCGGTGCTCTCAGCCAGGGCCTCGAGAGGGGAACAGCAGGGAGAGATGTTAATAAGGTTGCAAGGCTAAGATTAAGGGCAGACCAGGACCAGCTCATGCTGTGCATCGTCAGGGCCTGGCAGCCCCCTTGGGAAGCAGAAGCCCTTAGTTGGGGATATCTGGCCCGGTACGCCAGAAGCCAAAGCCCAGACACACAACCCGTGCGGGCTGGCCGGCTCATGCCAAGAAAGAAGGGAAGGAAGTGTGCAGGGAACGAATGGAGGCAGACAAGGATGCCACGACAGGCCACGCAGGGACAGCCCTGAGCAAGGCTGTCCCTTTCCCTCTGGCAGCCGGCTGAGGCCATTCTTGATGGTGTCTTGTACTTACCCCGCTCCATTCCACGCCCATACTCACTTCCTCGCTACCGTCTGTGGCACTCTCGTACTTGACGCCGCCCCCCAGGCTCCGTCGCCTCTCTGTGCCATCGCCCTCCTTCAGGATCTCCACCACCTTCGTCTGGTTGATTGGGTCGATGCCCTGCAAATAGAAAGGGACGAAGGAAGCAACAGGTTGCGCGTTTCTTGCGTGCGCCATCCGCTGTGCCATCAACTATGCTTGGTCCCGGCCCGTCCCCTGTCTTGGCCATTGCCCTGTCACAGCCAAAAACATACAGCACAAGAAGAAGGATGGAGCCCAATGTCATCCTGCACTTAGCAGCCCCTGTTTGGGTTCTCAGCTCAGCTTGAGCCATAAACCACCCTGGAGGACAAGGGCTTGCCATGCCAAAGCTGACAGCCTTTTTTCCTTCGTGTTTTGGTGCGTGAAGGTTCCTGCTGTCCTTCAGTCTGTGGGCTAGGTGCCTACAGCTCCTACATTATTATTTGAGGACTGAGACGAGTTGAGGGCGAGAGAAACCCCAAGTGCGTTCCCTAGACAATAAATTAGCAGGAAGAAAGCATCCCACAGTGAGTGCAGATCTCCTCTGTAGCTGACAAAGCCTGATAAGCCGCAGGATTTCTCCACTCCAAGAGCCATGCCTTCTTCCCCATGTCATACACACACCACATCTCTTCTACCCACGCACAACCCCACACGTTGTACACCTGCACAAACACAACCCCAACCACCAAGGCACTCTGGCGTTGTGGCAATCTAAACCGAAGACATCAAGAGGCCATGAGGCCCAGAGGAGGGTTCCTCACCACACCACGAGCCAAATGCTGGGCCATGACCTGCCACCCCAAGCCCTCTCCACCGCGATGCCCTCTCCACCAGGAAGTCCCCCTCTGGAGTTACCTGCCGCCGAGAGCGAACCGCGCACTCCTCCAAGGTCTCGGCTGCCTCCAGCTTGCCCTGGCGTCGGTACAACGCGCCCAGGTTCCTCAGCGTGGTGTTCACAGTTGGGCTGTAGTAACAAGATGAGAGGTGAGCTGGAGCCTTGGGGCTACCTCCTCCAGAGCCCACAGCTGCCCATGAAGCACCTCTTACCTGCTGACCTTACAGGCCTTGTACCAGCCGCCATACTCAGCGTAGGGAGCGCTGTCTCTGTGCTTGCTCTACGGGGTGAGGAGAGATGAGAGCCGTTAGCCCCATACCTACTGCCCTTCTCTCCCGCTTGGGTGCCAGGGTCGGGCCCCAGGCTGCACCCCCACACCAACCCAGACCTCAGAAACACAATCTGCAAACGCAGCGATGGAGTCCAGCAGGTCCCCAAAGGGAAAGCTGAAAGCCCCTTTGCTGCAACAGGCTCGGGCCACAAGTAGAAGTGATATCCCCACCCCAGCAAGGGGCATATCCCCATCTCCTTGAACCCTTCCCATGGTACCGAAGGCAGCAGGGACAACACAGCCCATCCTCATGACACTCTGGAGGACATGACAACCCGTCTCCCCGGTGTGCAAAGGGGAGACAAAAAAACCCCACCCAACCAGCAAAAAAACCCTATCAGGCAGCACGGGCACTAAACCCCTCAGCTGTGGCTAGCAAAGGAACCAGCCAGCCACATCCAAACCTTCTTCCTGCAAGGTCAGGGCTGCTCCACAGCAGCTTAGCCCAGCTAGCTGTCTCCCCCGTGTCCAGTCCTGGCTCTCCAAAGCTGGCCCAGCCACAGCCAGGAGCAAAGAGGCTGCTGGCCAGAGTTACAAGAAGGGGAACAGAGCTCGATGCTCAAGGTGAAAGATCTAGGGCCAGGACAACCACGCTGGTCAGTAGGGACCATGGCACCCGCAAGCAGGAATTACCACTGCTGCAGGAGCAGGGCTGCCTGTCCACACACACTGTGCACCCCGCTACGTGGCGAGCACCTGGGGGTGTGCCATGCCCCTGGCTCTGCACCCCCACGACACACGGGGTGGGCAGGAAGCACCCAGCTACCCCCGAGGCCATCAGGGCCGCTCTCACCAACCAGGTGCAGGGAGCACTGCCCCTCGGCAGGGATTTCCCTCTGGCAAGGGCTCCAGCCCAGAAGAAACTGTCTTCACAGTCCCACAGCACTTCTCAGCTCTTTACCCCCACATGGTAGAATCTCCCCGAGCCACAGGCACGCACGGTGCCTCACACCAGAGCCTAGACAGCCTGGGCAGGCCTCAGAGAGGACTGGGAACAGCTCTGAAGCTTGTGTAGAGCCCTAAAAAGGGTGGCTGGACCAGCGGGGAGAGATGTCAAATCCCCTGGGGCAGAAAGAGCCTCGCAAGCCAGGGCTGCCAGCTGTGCCCAAAGCCCTGCTGCTGGCACAATCTAATCTTCCCCTGCCACTACTGAGAGCGACGGGGGAAAAAAAAAAAAAAAAAAAAAAAAAAAAAATTTTTTTTTTTTTTTTTTTCGGGACTTATTTTGTTTGGGGTGTTCCCCCTCCCCCCCCTCCCCGTCCCCTCCGAAATGAATTAGGAGTTAATGACACGGGCAGGCAGCGGAGCTGTGCTATTAAGGAGCCGTCCAGAGCTATAATCATACCAAAGCAAGAAAGGGGGGAGGGAGCGGGGGAGAGAAAAAAAAAAAAAAAAAAAGAAAAAAAGAAGTGAAGCTCTGCGAGAAGGGTTTGATGCTTTTTAATCAGAGACATGGAAACACAGCACAAAGCGGAGCGCAGCAGCCCCAGCCCCTGGGCCAGCAGTACAAGCAGGTCTGTGGCTACTGCTGCCTGGCTGGGAAGCCCATGCCAACTATGCCATGCCATAGGGTATGGGTACAGCTGCCCTGAGGACAGGAGTTCCAGGAGCAGGGAAAGAGGCTCAGCCCTTGCCCCAGGCTGTAAAACAAATCTCACTCCAACCGTAGGTCCCTGAGCCTGTTCTCTTGCCCTGTAGCAAAGCTTGCGTTATCTGGAGCATAGCTCCACACTGCAACTATCTACTTCACAGAATCATGGAGTGGTCAGAGTTGGAAGGGACCTTCTAGGGATCATCTAGTCCAACCCCCTGCCAAAGCAGGGTTGCCCAGAGCACATCACTCAGGAGCATCCAGGCGGGGCTTGAAGATCTCCAGAGAAGGGGACTCCACACCCTCCCTGGGCAGCCTGTCCCAGGGCTCTGCCACCCTCACCCCAAAGAAGTTCTTCCTCAGATTGGAGTGGAACTTCCCATGGTCCAGCTTGTGCCCGTTGCCCCTCGTCCTGTCACTGGGAACCACTGAAAAGAGTCCAGCTCCATCCTCCCTCAACCCACCCTTTAGATACTTGTCAGCATTAACAAGGTCTCCCCTCAGCCTTCTCTTCTCCAGGCTAAAGAGTCCCAGCTCTCTCTGAAGATACCATCAGAAGTGTCTCAATCCCAGAGGTGGCAAGGGGAGCTTGGACTCTACTCCAGCTTTGATTTCTCCCGCATAAGAAGAGGGTGCCACAGCAAATGCAATTCCTTTGCAGCAAAGCCTTCGCAGGGCAGCAGCCAGAGCAGCACGAGGTGGGGCTGAGCGGTTCAAGGAGAAGACACAGCATGCTCGGGGGGGGGAGGCAGCTGCTACTGCCCTGCTCTTGGGGCTCACACGATGGGACTGATCAGTCACTAAGCCAAGCCTGCCAGCCTAAGGCCATGCAGGGATGAGGGCTGCTCTGAGGGCAAAGGGAAAGGAGAAGACTGGACCAGAGCCCTTCATTCTGCTGCTTCAACCCACCTGCCAAAAAGCAGGTGAGGTCTCAGGCTTGGGAAAAGCAGAGACAGGACCCTGCTGGGTTTATCAGCTGAGCACAGAACAGGGCCTGGGCAACAGGAGCAACAGTTTCTTTGTCTCTCAGTCTAGACCAAGGCAAGCACAACCCATGTCTACCTTCCTTCACAGGCCAGCTAGGACATAGAACAGATAGTGCCCGCCCTGTGCGGAGATCTTTTTCAAGAGGTTTGGCTCCATTTCCTAAGCAAGGTGACAGCAGCAGTTTCTTCTTGACCTCCATTTTTCCCCAGGCAGCCTTAGGGCTGCTTCAGAAGCAGGTTGTGCTCTGGGTACTAGCAGTTCTTTGGAACAGAGGGCCAAGGCCCTGCAGCACAACCCTCTGCCATCCGCCATCTTCCATCATCTGTGCGCCCTAGAGGGATCACTAAAGCAAAAAAGAGAGAGCGTGCAGCCATGGCTGAGAGGCCAAACAACCCCCTGCCCCAGGAAATGCATCAAGCTCTCTGATCAGCCTTCCCTCCTTGCTGCCCTGAGGAGCAGCCATGGTCTCCCCCCACTCTCCAGCCCTTTCCTGGCCTTCATCAACGGCCACGGCAGCACTTCAGATTGCAGGAGGGAGGGTCTGGCTGTGATAAGAGAGGATTGAAACCCCTGGATCTCCTTCCCCTCCCAGGGCTCTTGCTGCTAACAGGCAGCACCACCAGCTCAGACTCACCTTGCTCATCTCCTCTCTCTCCTCCGCGTGCATCCAGATCGGCTTGTGCTCGTCTGTGTGGGGAAGAATGCAAGACAGCTCTGCTCACCACCTCACCCCATTGCTCTGCCACTTCCACTGGAGCTCTGCCTCCCGCACAGCCCAGCGCTCTGTCCCCAGAGCCAGCAGCTCAGAGGGAAGCGACAAGGCTTCCCAGATCCCCCTGGTCCCTGGATTAGAGCCCCAAGGCAGGCAACTGATATTGCAAGGGGCAGGACAGCAGAAGGAAGAAACAAGTCCTCCCATGGGGCAATACCTGTGCCAGGTGTACAGGAGAAACTTCAGGTTATGCCTGGGGATGATCGTGCCACTTTCTATTCCCCTTTTTAGCCACAACTATTCCCAACCCAGTAAAGACTGACAGCCAGAGCTCTCCAAGACCCTTTCTGAGAAGAGGTGGAACAGCATAACACACCAGAATGGCAGCATCTCAAGGGCTGCCCAAAGCAGGGGCCCTGCAAGGCATCCCATCCCTCTGCCAGGGGGATACCAGAACCAGCCAAGCCCAGGCTGGCAGCCAGGAGGCCAAACTGCTCACCCTTCCCCAGCCCCAACAGCTTCTGCTGTACAAACCGTCCACGGAGCCGAACTCCTTCACGTGAGCACGGGTGAGGATCTCCTTATACAACACCTCTGCATCTTTGTATTTGCCTTGCTTCAGGTAACAGGAGGCCTGCAAACAAGAAAACAGCTCCAGTCCCACTGGGCACCACAGATTAACTCTGCCCCCATCTTGCAAAGAGCTGCAACTTCCAAGCATCAGGCAACGTTCACCTTTCCCGTGGCACCATTCCCCATCCCCACATGGAGTCTCCCCAGGGTCTCACCAGGTTGTTCTTGGTCTTGGCAACGTTGGGGTCATCAGGACCCAGGCAGCTCTCGTAGATCTCCAGGGCCCGGCAGTAATAGTACTCCACCTCGTCGTATTTGCCCTGGTTCTGGCACAGCAGGGCTAGATTGTTCAGCTGCTTGGCCACGTCAGGATGGTCTTTGCCTAGGACCTGGGTAAACAAAAGAAAAGAAGCCACAAAAAGTCAACACTGAAAGACTGCAGTGAACTCCTGGAGTTAGTAGACTCTGTAGTCCCTCCAGAACATGCCTATGTCAGACAGGAGCCAAGGACTAGGGAGGTAAACAGTAGAAATTCCAGCTTCCACCTCCTGGCTGGCCTCTCTAAGTCTGCAAACACTGGAGAGGCAGGAAAGGCGGTGGCAGAATCAGCAGCCAAAGAGATTAGATAGGTCCTGGACCTCCCAGGTGCAGCAAGGTAGTGGGGAGAGTTGGAAGGAAGGAGAGTGGGGGAGACCAGTACCTTCTCACGGATCTCCAGGGCTCGCTTACACAGTGGCTCTGCTTCTTTGTACTTCCCTCTCTTGCCATAGAGAACAGCCAGATTGTTCAAAGTTGCTGCCACCTGCAGAGACATAAGCTTCTCCATGAAACAAAGCAGAATCCAGTGGGACCAAACAAGGGGTGCAAGCAGCAGTAACACTGACTGTCCCTTTTCCTTCATGCCTGCTTCTGAAGAGATCCAGAGGCAGAAGGCCACCCTGCCTACATGGCAGAGCACACTACTGCCCTTGGTAGTCTGGCTGCAGATACACCATAAGGGCACCATTCTAGCCCTAGGGGCACCCACAAGTCAAGGGAAGTGACTGAAGGAGGAGGGAGACACTCACCGCTGGGTGGTCTTTGCCCAGAGTCTTCTCACGGATGGAGAGAGCATCGTTCAAGAGGTGTGCTGCCTCTTTGTATTTGTTCTGGTCCCTGCAGTGCAAAGCCAACCAGTTATTCAGGATTTGGACACCACAGCCCATAGCAAGAGGAACTGTGAACAACAGTTCTCGTTCCACACAGGTCCAGACCCCACAGCCCTTTCATTTGTCCATTCCTCCCAACCTTAGGCCAGCGCCTAGTTATATCAGCGAGTCTGGCAGTGCAAATACCTCATCTGTCCCAAAACCTTTCCAAAAGGGAAACCACAGGAAGCTGATGGAGCTCCCTGTCACCAGGATGTGCTGTTCTGGTAAGCAGGAGAGGCAAAAAAAAAACCCCACAACTCTCCTGGCCCAGTCCTGCCCTCCCCACCATGCTCACCTGTACACTAACGCCAGGATGTTGAGCATGGTGGCCACATCGGGGTGATCGTGGCCTGATGTCTTCTCCAGGTCCTCCAGCGCCTGCTTGCAGAGCGGCACGGCCACCTCATAGCGTCCCTGGGAAGCGTACTGGATGACAAGGTTGTGGAGGGTGCGCAAGCGTGCAGGAATCTCATAACCTCCCTGCTGGGCAGCTGCCACTGCACTGCTGTGCTGGTGGGGCACTGCAGGCACAGAGGAATAAAGAGGGAAACCAGTTGGCACAGCAGGTTTGAACAGAGACAGAGCCAGCAACCGTGCATGAGCAAACACTTACATCCAGGCCCGTGCTCCTCCTCCTCATTCGGGAACAGATCATCCAGAGAGTCCTTGGCAGAGTCGCCTTCCTTCTCCTCCTGGGAGGATGGGAATCACAACGCTATTGGTTCTCAGAGAAGACAGCAGCAGCCTGTGCTAAGTCAGCTGCCAAATTTTCCTCCCTGCTGCAGCCCCACCAACACCTCAACCTCCCCTGTCGTCTCTGCCACCCTTCCCCTCCTCCCCAAAACTAATAAAGCCAAGTTTCCCCAGCACATCCTGGCATGTTATTCCGTGTTCTTCCACAGACCCTACCCCATGCAGGCTCCCTTTAGTTACACGCACTGGTGTGGGAAGGGGCAAAATCCAGGGCAATGCTAACACACCTAAGTCCTGCTTGGTCCAACCTCCCCCACCCCAAAACGCAGCTGCTCAGTAGGACTAGGACGTACCGAAGGCGAGACATCCTCATCGTACTTCTTCAGCTGGTTCATGAACTCAAGGTGTTTCTTCTCCTCCTCCAGTTGAGCCACGGTTTGTTCACTGCGCTGCAACTTCTGCTGGGTGTTGGCAAGCTCGTCACGCAGCCACTGGTTCTCCTGGCACAGTCTCCGCACCTGAGCACGCAGCTTCTGCTTCTCTGACTCCACAGCATTCAGGTGGTTGGACAACGCCATCATCACCTTGTCAAGAGTACCCAGTCAGTAACCACCACAATTTTGTATCTCCCTCACACACATGCTTAGGGCCCACCCTGAGGGTCAGGCTGGCCTTCTACAGTCCACCCCTTGCTGCCCCTGCAGCTTATGGGGCATGGCCACATGCCCCCCATCCCCTGCCAGTCCTGGGTAACACCTAGGGGTCACCTGCCACTCTCACCTGAGCTTCTCCAAGCCCCAGTTCGATCATCTCCACTGACTTGCGAAGCAGGTTGGATTTCTCATGCACTAGATTGGCTTCTTCATCTTTCTTCAGGCACTTGATGGTCTCCAGTAAGCTGTGCAGGATGGAGTTGTGCTCATTCTTGAGCGCCTCCAGCCCTTGCATCACCAGCTTGGTGTTGGAAATGATCTCCTCTTGGCTCAGCTTGTCCAGTTTCTCCTCCCTTGGGTACACCATGGTGGACATAGTCCTGGCTCCTGCAGCCCTACACGGGGAAGGGAGAAAGAGAGAGAGAGACAAAAAACCCTCAGTTTCAAAAAGCCACAACCACACGCAAGTGTCACAGGCTCCTTCAAGCAGCCAGAGACAGCCTTCAACTGGTTGCCCACTCTAAGCCCTTCCCCTTTGTCCTCCCCTCTCCCCTTGGCAGCAGGCAGCTGTCAGGCCACGTGTCCCTGCTTTCGTGGCACGGAGCGCTGGCAACCAGCGCAGGTGGCAACACGTGGACGGGAGACAAAAAGGCTAGAATCAGGGCTGACCTCCAACACCCCCACAGCCCCGGCGGCAAGGAAAGCTGATTTAGCTTCCAGTTAAGAGCAGAGATTTGTAGCTGGCAGCCGCGGTTGCGACGCGCACACCTCCTGCCCACAGGTGCAATGAGCTCGTCAGAGCTCAACACCCCTTCCGACCGCAGGAGAAAGGGAATGGGAAAGCAGAGGGATGCTGACGCAAAGTTTTCTGTTTCCTCAATGGAAAAAATTTCCCGGAAGACCAGCTTCTCAGGCAGGGAGACGTGGCATCAGTGCCCTCACTGGGCCAAAGGAAAACTTCCCTGGCCAGAATTGTACACCCTGTCAATCCCAGCCCCAGCACAAACAGCCTTTGTGGTGATAAGGGATCTAACACCGCCAGCATGAACTGAATCATGCCTGTGTGGGAAAGCTTATATACACCAACTGCTACAGTTCCACTAGTGTAACCCTTGCGTGGGTGTCAGCTTGAAACACTAACAGCTTTTCCAGCTCCCATTCGTCCTACTTGCCAGCCCAAGGACTCCCCAGCATGGCATGGGGGCTCTGTACTCATTCCCTGCCCTGATCCCCCCAGATATACAACAGGAGAGCACCAAGCTTCTGCCTTTGCTCAAGGACACCAAGTACTACAAGTGCTTCAACCCACTATGTTAGTGCGGAATCAGAACCACAGAATCGTCTAGGTTGGAAGGGACCTTTAAGATCAGCTAATCCAACCATCAACCTAACTCTGAGAAAAAAAAACAACCACAAAACCACACACACACAAAAAACCCCCTCCACATCACTAAACCATGTCTCTAAGCAGTATATCAACCCATATTTTGAACACCTCCAGGGATGGTGCCTCAACCCCTTCCCTGGGCAGCCCATTCCAAGGCCTGAGAACCCTTTCAATGGAAAAATTTTTCCTAATAGTCCCCTTTTCCCCCGCCCCGGCCCCCCCCCCCCCCCCCCCCTTTCAGGGAGTTGCAGAGAGCAATAAGGTCTCCCCTCAGCCTCCTTTTCTCCAGGCTGAACACCCCCAGCTCCCTCAGCCTCTCCTCACAAGACTTGCTCTCCAGATCCCTGCACAGAAAATCCAGGAGCTAGGAAAACACAGCAGGCGAGGGGGCGAGAGACACAAGCAGCAGGCAAGACCTTCTATAGCAGGTTGATGGTACCCTAGATGCTCCACGACTCGTTCATCTCACCCTCTCCCCGAGCTTGGCCGCCTCAGCACCTTCTCCACATTACTTGGTTGACAAAGCCACCCCCCTCCTCACTATAGGTCACTCCAGGGCCCCAGACTCCTGCAGGGCTGAAGGCAGGAGGCTGTGATGCCCTGCACAGGCAGCACCTCCTTGCCACCCAAAGCTGGCAGGAGGCACTGGAACCCCAGCACCCAGGGCCCTGCTGGCAGGAAGCTGGCAAACACCCCAGGAACTACGCAGGAGGAGGTGGGGGAAGAGCTGCCAACAGATTTGTCTCCTCCTGCAGGACCCACCTCTGCAGGGTTTGAGCTCTTTGTTTGGCAGCAGCCTTCTCGCCTGGCTTACTGAGCGAGCAGAAATGTTGCCCTGAGTATAGGAACAGAGAAAGCAGAGCTCCTCTCCACCCCAGCTGTCCTCTCTGGTCTCAGGGGGATCCCCCAGCTCAGTTATCACTATCACTGCCTGGGAGTGGATCCCGAGCAATAGAGGAGTCGTTTCTTCCTCACGGTGGCATAGAAAGCCATGGTGGGAGCCAGGGAGGTGGTTGAGTCACCATCCTTGGATGAGTTTAAGAGCCGGTTAGATGTGGTGTTGGGGGATATGGTGTAGGGGAGAACTTTGTAGAGTAGGGTAGATGGTTGGACTCGATGATCCCAAGGGTCTCTTCCAACCTGAATGATTCTATGATTCTATGAAAGTGAAGGTGGCAAACAGTGCTGGGGCAGGAATGATTCTATGATTCTATGAAAGTGAAGGTGGCAAACAGTGCTGAGGCAGTTAGAATCATCTAGGTTGGAAGGGACCTTCAAGATCACCTAGTCCGACCATCAACCTAACTCTGAGAAAAAAAAAAACAACCACAAAACCAAACCCACAAAGCCCAAAACCATCACTAAACCACGTCCCCCAGCACTATGTCAACCCATCTTTTGAACACCTCCAGGGATGGTGCCTCAACCCCTTCCCTGGGCAGCCCATTCCAAGGCCTGAGAACCCTTTCAATGGAAAAATTTTTCCTAATATCCAACCTGAACCTCCCCTGGTGCAACTTGAGGCTGTTTTCTCTTGTCCTGTCGCCTGTGACTTGGGAGAAGAGACCAACCCCCACCTCTCTACACCCTCCTTTCAGGGAGTTGGAGAGAGTGAGAAGGTCTCCCCTCAGCCTCCTTTTCTCCAGACTGAACACCCCCAGCTCCCTCAGCCTCTCCTCAGAAGACTTGTGCTCCAAACCCCTCACCAGCTTCTATAGGTTCATACGTCTCGCCATACCCACCCATTTCCTCCCCTTTGGTTTCACTCTTCCAGAAGTTCCTTGAGTTGTTTCATAAGCCTGAGCTCTCCTCTCCACTCCTCTCTGATTTCTGTTCCACTGATGCACATCCATCCCCCGGGAAGGGCAGGAAACCCAACGTGCAGCAGAGACCTTCCTGAACCTCGGCAGGGCAGAAACACTCTGTGCCTCTTGAAGACTGGGCTCCTGTTCATGCCTCTGAACAAGAGTTGAGTCCTCTCCCACTGACCCCAGAATCACAATTCGCTTCACGAGCCAGCATCAGCGCCAACCCCGAGCCCTCCTTCACTGCACCCTTCACTTCTGGGTCTCTGAAGACCACACGGTAAGAATGGCACAAAAAAACCCCCTCAATAAGATCAAGACAGAGGGCACAGACTACTGTTTTGAAGAAAAGAATAGGTCTTTTGGGAGTTGGCTGTGACTCACATCCTGTCTTCCACACTGATTCTCCAGGAACTGGCAGCCAAGCACCCTGGTCCACAATTCCCCTGGTTATTCTTTTTCCTCACCTTTCTAACACACCTAGGGGAGTGATTTTGAGAGCTAAAGCAACAAGGGAAGCCCTGCCTAAGGCAGATTCCTGTGGGTGAGCGCAATTCACAAAGAGATGGGCAATAATTCCCAGCTCCAGAGGAAGAGGCTGGCAGCCCAAAGGACGCTAACACAGCCATGTGTGGCAAAGCACTATTGTCCTTCTCTAAAATGGGTCCAGAGAGCCCCCCAGGAAGGCTCAACAGGCACTTCTCTGCTCCACAAAAGCTGAGGCAGCAACCACTGAAGGGCAAAACGACCCCATCAGACTCAGAAACAGGGAAATCGGGAAGTGGGAGTCCTCTGGAGCATGGACAATGCTTGAGACACGAGGAGATCCCCAGGAGCAGCCTCATACCCGGCAGGCAACGCAGTTAGAGCTCTGCTCAAAGGCTCACACGGCTACGTAGCACAAGTGCCTCTTCATCTGTCCCTCTGTGTTCTGGGTCAGCATTTCAGTTTTCATGGAAGCATTACTTATGTCCATACAGAGATCTTGCTACTGTCTTTGAAAAAGTACAATACAAACGCATTGGGAAGACAACCATGTTACAAATCATGATAAAAAGCCACCAGAGATCACACCTTGCTAGATAAGAGTCAGACAAGACCCAGATCCATAGAAAATCAGCCTCATTAATTCCACTGTGCTCAGAACTGCTCCTCAACTGAGAAATCGCCAAGCTGGGTGTTAAACCACCATTGCCTCTACTACAGCAACACCCTGTCTTTCTTCAGCCCTTCCAACAGAAGGCTTCAAGCATTTCAGTCTCCGTGATCAATTTGTCTTTCAGAACTGCAAAGATTTCAGACCGAGAAGGGAAAATAACCAAAACATCCCGACCCACAGCACATCAGACTCATCCTGCCCTGCAGCAACACCCTCAGATCCTCAAGACGTACCAATACAGGCTCCCCTTCTCTCACTGGCTCTGCAAACACCTCTACACAACCCTGGTCTTTCTCCCCAAGGATGACACCCTAGAAGTACAGCTCTGCTAGGTTACCAACATGTTTCCAGGGTTCAAGGGTGGACAGGGGACTGTCCAGGCTGGACACAGGGTGCAAAACCTGAGAACAGCACATGGGTTGTTCGCTTCCAAGTACCAAGAGGAGAGCAAAGAGAAGACTGCAGAGAAGTCACTTAAATGCTGCCACCTCTTGCACAGCAAAGAAAACTACCAAACACTGGCGGGAACTGATTTCTTAGCCCTAGAAAATGACAATTCTTCCCTACAGAGCCTTATTTCTAGCTCTCCCCAGCGCTGGCAGGTCTACCCTTAGTGCCCAGCCCTCCAGAGAGGAAACACGCTCTATGGCAACCGACGCCAAGGTCAGGCAGGCTGAGGCTGCTGTATAAGCACTCTTCCTACTCCCACACATTCAGTAAAGGGCACTGAACGTCCTTTATCCAGGCAGAAAACACACTTGGAGATTCCCGCAGTGAGGAAGGGAGACACCATCATTTGTCTTTGGCAGGGGGCGGGGGGAGGTTCAGACTGGAATAGGAAGAAAGAGTGCTTTTCCAAGGAGTTCCCGAGGAGCTGGAATGCCCAGCTCCTAGTTTATCCTGCTGCATTCCTCACAGCTCTGCAGGTGCCACAGCCCAGGTCTCCACCAGCATGTTTCTGCTCCAGTTGGCATGTCCTCCCTATTTCCAGCGAGCTGCTGGAGCAGCCTGGCTTTCCGGCAACACCCGTCTCACCTCCCCTCC